AACCAGGTGTCAGGTTTTTTAAAAACAAAAATTTTTAAGAGATTTTAGCCTTAGGGCATGTGCACTCACCAGAGAGAGACAGAGACAGTGAGAGGGAAAGTGAGAAATCACCCCCTGGGAGGATGGACACACCTCAATCCCTTCTCCCCCATTCTCCTCCTGGGATCTTGGTCATGAACGCACACACGCACGGTGTGATTTTCAAGCCACCAGCCCTGGGACTCAAACCATGGTCAGCCATGTGAGAGTACAATGATGTAACCACTATGCCATCTGCTGGCCCCCAGGCGTGGGTTTGTAAAGACTCTGACAGTATTTTAAAATATTTTGTTCAAAGTAACTAAAAAATATAAAACTGGTGTATGATAGGTAACTTAAAATTTTCCATAAATAATATTTATCATTTTTGTATATAGAGTTATGTTTTGAATTGTGTGAAAAATGAATCATGCATTAGTCTTAACCTAAATTGGGTAGTTAACACACATAGAAAGTAAAACTATGGATCATTTGTACTTATGGCTATATATGTAGAAATCTTTAAAATAGGGATTTATAAAAAAAAAAAAAAAAGGCAAGTCAAACCATTTACCAAAGAAAAAAATTAATAATTATTAAATATGATTAATTCCAGGAATATAGGGATAGTTCAACAGTAGGAAACTGATTACTGTAACTTTATTGCATTAGCAGATTAGAGAAGAAAACCATATATAAATCATCTCAAATATTTCAAATTGTTTTTTGTTTAAAAATGTATTTGATTCAAGAAACAAGAGCCAAAATGTTTAATACTTTGTGTGCGTGTGTGTGTGTGTGTGTGTGTGTGTGTGTGTATCCCAGTAACATGGTACACATTGATAAAAATTTGGAATCATTATTTGTTTTTTATTTTGTTTGTTTGTTTGTTTTTTAATTTGCTATAAGGCATGTGCACTCACCAGAGAAAGATAAAGAGGCAGGGGTTGGGGGAGTGAGAAATCACCTCTCTTGGAGGGTGGCCATGCTCCAGTCCCTTCTCCTCCATTCTCCTGTTGGTATTTTGGGCATGCTCACGCACACATGCCCAGCATAATTAACAAGTCACTGGGTCCAGGATTCAAACTGCCAGTCAGCCATGTAGGATCCAGCTACCTTAACTCGCACGTTATCTGCTGGCCCTGAAGCATTATTTTTAAAGTCAGGAACAAGACAGAGGTGTTTATTAACATTGCCATCACTTAATGTTGTCAGAGGTCCTAGTTAATGAAATAAAAAAGAAATTAGAAACAAATATTGTAAGAGAAGAGAAAGTATACTCATTATCTATAGATGATCTGATTACATACCTAGAAAATCTTAGTAAGGTAGCAGAAAACTATGAATAAATTCAGTAAAGTAGGCTGATAGGAAATCAACACTGAAATAATCAGAAAGTAAAATGGAAAGAAATTGCAACAATACTCCCCCCCGGAAAAAACAAACAAACAAACAAAAAACAAAAAAAACAAACCCTTATAATAGACCCAATTGGAAAAATACAAGATAATCATGAGAGAAAGGAATGAAAATCAATGGAATATCTTGTATCAACAAAGAAAACAGACTTAGATACAAATAACAACACAAATGAATCTTGAAAATAATATTGAGCAAAAGAAGCAAGATACAAAAGAATATATGTTAGGACCAGTTGGTTGTATGGTAGTTAAGGCAGCTGGATCCCACATGGCTGACTGTGCAGTCTGAGTCCTAGGTCTGGCAGCTTGAAAAACACACCAAATACATGTGCATGAATGCTCAGATTCCAAAAGGAGATAAAGAGGAGAAGGGATTGCAGTGTGACCAGCCATCATGGGGACGCTTTCTCACTTTGTCTTTCTCCATCTCTCTCCATTGATGCACATATCCTCTAGCTAATTAAAAAATACATATATATATATATAATTAAATACATGTATGTTATATATGATATATAATATATATAGTATATACATATATAGTATGTATGTGTGTGTGTGTGTATATATATATATATATATGAGATTAATTAATATAAAACCCAAACAAACAAAAGAAAACTGGGCTGACTCTATTGCACATTAATGCTCCACTCAAGAGAAGATGAATCTTGAATGACAACAGCAGTTTGAATCCCCTGCCCAGTCAGTGTAAAGCATGCTGCATATGCACGTGAGTACCCAAGAGCCCATGGGCTGGAAGACTAGAGGTAAAGGATCTTGGTTTGACCAGTCCCTATAGAGGTTGCTCATTTTCTATGTGTGTGTCTCGCACGTGTATATGTACATGCTGTAACATGAATAAAAGGAAAAAAATCACACTACTGAAAAAAGAGCTAAGTTTTATATTTTAGAAAGGCATATATAAATGTTAAAACAATAATAAAAGGGACCAGCAGATGGTGTAATGGTTATGTCACTGGACCCCCACATAGTTGACTGCAGTTCAAGTCCTGGACCTGGCAGCTTAAAACTCACACCAGGTACATGTGCATGTGTGCCAAAAATCCTGAGAGAAGAATGGAGGAGAAGGGATTATGGTGTGGTCATCCCCACTGGGGGCTGATGTCTCATTTTCTGTCTCTCTGGTGATGACATGTACCCTGTAGCAAAAATCTCTCTTAAAAAAAAAGAAACAAGAGAATGAGAATCACAAAAGTCTAGACAAAAGTCAAGATGATAACTACCCCTGTAGGAAAGGTATCAGGTTTGGAAGGGCACATAAAGGGCTTTTGGGTGTTGGCAGTAGTCTATTTCTTGTCCTGGGTGGTGGTTACATGGTTATTTCCTTTTTATTTAGTATACTAAACTCTGTATAACTTTTATTTACTTTTCTATAGGTGACATTATACTTGAGTAAAAAAAAAGAAAAAAAAAAAAAGGAAAAAAGAGATAGATAAAATGGAACAAAATAGAAGATTCTAGAAACCAAAGTGCATCTGTGTGTGTGTGTGTGTGTGTGTGTGTGTGTGTGTGTGTTATATGATAAATGAAGCAATTCAAGCAAATGGAGAAAGAACTATACTAGTCAATAAATGGTTATAAGATAATTGGATTTTCTCAAAGAAATGAATTAGATTCTTAACACATTTCATGATTTAAAACTGTATTTCAAATAAAGATCTAAATTGGAAAATGAGGTTATATAGGTGGAAGAAACAAACATAACATTGAGGCCAAAATGTTTTCCTTAGCAAGACAGTATATGCAAATACCATAAAAGAAGAAATTGGCAGATTTAGCAACACTTAGATTACAAATTATGTGCAGTAAAAGAAAAAAACCAAAAATGGGGAAAAAATTCTAACAGCTGTGATAGACATTGTGTTGTTTTCTATAATAAATAAGAGCTCCTAATATAAAACAACCCAAAAATTAGGTGAACAATTAGTGTATAAAAGGAGAAATGTGGGGCCAGCAGGTGGTGTCGTGGTTAAAGTGCTAGACACTCCCACATGACCAACCATGGTTGGAGTCCCGGACCTGGGGCTTGCTTTCTTACTATCTCTCTCTCTTTCTCTCTGGTCGAATTAAAATAAATAAATGATAAAATTAAATAAATAATTCTTTTTTTTTTTTTTAAATAAAAGGAGAAATGTAAGTCTCTTATATACTGGAAAATATTCCGAGCCTCTCCAAGAAGCAGGAACTTAAGATAGATTGATAGTTTACAATGTTTGTAAGAATGTGGGGAAATTAGTGGGTTTAAACTGGTACAGTATCTTTGGAGAGCAGTTTTTTTCTTCAATATTTAAATTACTTGTCTTAAATTGTCTTTCTGGGCCAGCAGTGGCATAGTAGTTAGAGTGCTGGATGCCACATGACCCACTCCGCTGTTCAGGTCCTAAAACTTAATGCTAGAAAAATATACCGGGCACTTGTACATACATGCCCAGAATCCTGAGAAGAGAAGGATTTGCAGCATGGCCATCTCCCCTGAGGAGGGGGTGATTTCTCACTCTCTCTTTGTCTCTTTCTGGCAAGTGCATGCACCCTATGGCAAAAACCTTCAAATGAAAAAAAAAAAGAAAAAAGAAAGAGAAAGAAGAAAATGCCCTTCTGAAAGATCTGCATGTGACACAAAGATGTTGTAAAATTCTGTATAGTATATAGAATAAGAAAAACTTGAAACCGACCCTATGTACATCCTTAGAGAAATGATGGAATTAATTATATACATAGTATAGAATAGCACTATTGATAATTTACTTACCACAGTACAGAATAGTCAAGGTACATTACTGTTTTTTAAAAAGTATTTTTGATGTAATAACATTATTATACTTATATAAAAATTATTAAAAGCTAGATTTTATATATATCCATAGTTATATATGTGTTTAAGTACATAAAATAATACCTAGAAACTTACTTATAAAAATATTAATAATGGGGCATGGTGGCGCCCGCCCTATGGCAAAAATATTAACAGTGATATCTCTCTGGAGGTGGGAACTGAAGTGAAATATAGATTTTTTTACCTTTTTTTTAAAGAATGATTTATTTACTTTTATTCATTCATTGTATTTTTTTTTTAATTTGACCAGAGAGATACATATATATAGAGAGAGAAAGAGGGAAAGTGAGAAAGCAAGCCATCAGGTCCAGGACTCAAACCATGGTCAGCCATGTGGGAGTGTCCAGCACCTTAACCACCATGCCTCCTGCTGGTCCCATAGATTTTTTACTCTTTTTTGAATATCATTTCATGAACATATATTGTATAACTAGTTTTTGTTTTTCAAAACATCTCTTCATTACTGGGCTTTCGAAATGATTTTCTATCATAACATTAGGAAATTTAAATTTTGTATTACTCAGTGTTTAACAGACAGCATATCAAACACTACATATCTCTTTATTTTCAAAAATAATGTATTTTGAAAGAGAGTTACAGCAGTATTGGCTTTACCTTTTTCTTATTTTAAATTCCCATACATTTGGAATTTTCAAACGAGTGCCACAATCTTTCTCTAATTTGTAGTTTTACTTTTTGTCCAGGCCCATCAAACTCCAGTGAAGAAAGTGAATCCTGGAGAAGAAAGGAGGAAAATGTTTGAGGTATAAAGACACCTGTCTGCTTATTAAAGCTTTGCAAAAATAACAAAAAAAAAAAAAAAAAAAAGAAAGAAAAGAAATCTTACAATAAAGCCTCCAAACCTTTCCTCCTTATTTCTTTAAAACAAAATACCTATAAGTGATTATTTTTTCTAGCCTCCTGGGCATACTTCTGCCACTGGTGTACTAACTTTCCTGATGAAATTGGAAAAAGTAGGAATTATTACTGATAAAAAAATATTTTCTTTCTATTAAAGGATGCACCAAAAAAGCGAAGGTTGGACTGTATTGAAAAAGAAAAGAAACAAAAGGATCAGGTAGTTTTGCTCTTATCTTTCATCCTTTGCCAAGTTGTGGATGTTAATAGTTTGATAATAGTTTCAAGGTTCTAAGAAGTTTGTGCTTAAAATTGTTACAGATTAGTTTAATGAAGGCTGAACAAATGAAAAGGCAAGAAAAGGAAAGGGTAAGAGAACAATCCATTTCCCCCTTGGCACATTTCTTCCCCTCCCCACACACATACTTTTTTTTTTTTTTAAAGAAATATGCTTTTTGCATTTGTTTGCAAAATGTATTTCATGTATTTTATATTAAATACTCGAAATGGTGTTTTGTTTGTTTTTTTCCCGAAAGTTGGAGAGAATAAATAGGGCCAGGGAACAAGGATGGAGAAATGTTCTGAGTGCTGGTGGAGGTGGTGAAGTAAAGGTAGGCATTTGATACCTGTATAGTATAACTGTATAGGTATACTCTGTTATTTTTTCCCCTCCAGTTTCACCTTGCTCTTTGAAATGTATTTAAGTGGCTTCTTTTCTGCTTGTGTGCTTAATTTTTATTTAAGAGTTTTTCAACATTTATTATTTATAAATTCATAGATTTCTTTTGGTACTTGATATAAAACTTATATTAATAATTTATAACACTGTTAAATTGCTTATTAAGTTTTGGGGCCAGCAGGTGGCATGGTGGTTAAGGGCGCTGGACTCCCACATGATTGACTGTGGTTCGAGTCCTAGATCTGGCGGCTTGCTTTCTCACTCTCTCTCTCTGGTCAAATTAAAATAAATAAAAATGAATAAAGTTAAATAAAATGTTTTTTTTTAAATTGCTTATTAAGTTTTATATGAACGCTGATATACCATTTCTGTCAGAAGAATCCTCATAAAATCAAGTATAACTTGTCATACCTCTGCCTAAACGCCTTTTGTAGTTCCATATAGCCTCAAAAATTAAATTCCCAGAATACCCTTCTTAATCTGGCCCCTGCAATCTCTTCAAGTTCATCTCCATCCATTTCCTGCCACATATTCTATGCTCTACTCACACTGAACAAATGGCCATGTTTGCAGTTTCCTTATTGTACATAGCTTGCCAAATCTCTTCTTCATATTACTCTTTAATTGATAGCTCCCCTCCTTCCATCCTCACCCTCCCTACAACATTCATGCATTTACCTAAATTTGTTCATTCAAACATTTCTTTTGGGTAAATCCAGTCTTTATAACCCTGGGCAAGTTACTTAACTTTTCTAAGCTTCAGTTTAATTTTTTAGTTTTTTCTAAGAACAATGCCTGGATCTTAACTAGTAAGGACTCATATAGTAGTTTCCCTTTCCTTTCTTTGTTCTGCCACTCCAAGTCTTGTACTTCCTCTTTTGTCACATGACATCCTATACAGATCTGTATTTCTGGTAGGCCTCAGTCTAAGGTCCTGATCCCTGATGTACACATCTAGTATTAGACCTTCCCCTTCAGTCCAGGTAAAATGTATGAATATGGCGATATAATATTTCCCTTGATTAGGTTATGTTATATGGCAAGTGGTGATGGAATAATTGCAAGAGTACATTAACATGAATGTCCTCATAGCAAGGGAAAAGGGAAAAGTCAGAGAGACATACATACTTCTGCTGATCTGAAACAGTAACGAACATTTACATGGCAAAAGTATAGGTGGCCTCTAGATGCCCACAGTAGTCTCTGACCAATAACGAGCAAGAAAGAGTGACCTTAATTATACAGCCACAAGGAAACGAAGTCCACCAAGAATCAGTGAGCTATAAAGAGATCCTGAGCTTTGGTGAGATTTGTAGGCAGGCCGATAGATTGATTTCTGCATGGTGAGATCCTGAGCTCCATACTAAGCTAAATATATCCCAACTCCTAAGTTAGAGAAACTGTGAGAAAATAAATGGATATTGTTTTAAGCTTCTCCATTTGTGATCATTTGTTACATCACAATAGAAAATTAATGTAATATTCCTCTGTATTATAACTTTAATTTGTATCATCAAATCAACTGTTGATCAAAAAGTCTTTAAACCATAAATTCCCCATCTGCCCCATCTCAATTAACCTTAATATTTAGGTATGCAATAGATATTTTTCAAATGAAATTGATTACCACCCTTACTTCTCTCTTTTCCCCAGAAGTTATGGTTTGAATAAATATTTGTTTTTTGGTTTTTTTTTTTTTTTTGAGAGGTTTTTTTTTTTTTTTTGCTATAGGGCGTGGGCACTCACCAGAAAGACAGAGAGAGACAGAGAGACAGAAAGTGAGAAATCACCCCCAAGAGGGGATTGCCACGCTGCATTCCCTTCTCCTTCATTCTCCTCTCGGGATCTTGGGCACGCTCACACACGTGCCTGGCGTGAGTTTAAGCCACTGAGTCTAGGACTCGAACCATGGTCGACTACATGGGAGTCAAGCAACATAGCCATTATGTAATTTGTTTTATCTAGACACATTTATTCTGTCCTGGATTCATAGATTTGTTTTTCACTCTCAAAAGATACAGACATTTTTCATATCACATATCAATAATTTAGTAAGAGTTACTTTTCCAGTTCTGGACTAATGTATTTGTTCAATGTTTTAGTCAGAGTCCCCAGTTCCCAAGTTGTGGACTGGTGCCAGTCAGTGATCTATTACAGCCTAGACCGTGTCCTGTTGTACACCCAACTTCTACCCACTACCCCTTCCCCACACAGCATGGGGTGGGCTTTGAGCTGCTCGTCATTGCTGGTATTGCCACCTGGGCTCCACATTCTGTCATGTCAGTGGTGGTATTGGATTCTTATAAGGCAAATCCTAATACTAAGTGACTGTTTCATTGTATATTACAATGTGGTAGTGGTGGAAATCGAGTGTAACGGGCAATGTGGTGGCTTGGTTCATCCTGGAACCAACCCTTACTCTATCCCTAGTTCACTGAGGGCTTATCTTCCATGAAGCCAGTCTCCTGCTGCTGGAAAGGTTGGGGACCACTCTTTTTAGTATTATGGTTTTAATCTTACTTTGGATTTTAATCTTACTTTTAAAACTTAGTACTTCTTTGGTGATAAGGAATGACTCAGATGTTATTTTCTCCATTCTAAAATAGCCTACCTTGTACATTACCTGGTTAGAAAGTGAAAACTTACCAAACTGTAGGCCTTTGGATGTTGTCAGATATTTTGTTTCATGTCCATGATTAATGCTGAGATTTTGATGATTGTTTTTCTTCTCTTTGCCTATTTATTTCTATGAAGTCTAAAGCAGTATTTAATCCTAAAGGTTTAGTTTTATCAATGTTATTTGATAACTAATAGGGAATTTTTCAACAGTCAGATACTATGTGCTTGGGACCATCAGATGGTATAATGGTTATGTCACTGGATTCCCACGTAGTCAACCGTAGTTCAAGTCCCGGACCTGGCAGCTTAAGACGGATGCTGGGTGCATGTGTGTATGGGCATTTGATGAGTGCACATGCCCTATAGCAAATATCTGTCTTTTAATTAAAAAAAAAAGTACTGTGCTTAACAGATTTCTACTCAATAAATTTCTGCAATGCTGACATTGAGGATTAATCAAACAATTTATTTTCCATGATTTTAAATTTTAAATTTTATGATACTTTCTGTACTTATTCCTCTTTGAGTTTGAAATATTTAACTTGTTAGTTAGACTGATTCGTGAATAGTTGGTAAGGACCTAGAGTCCCACTATATTGAGTCAACTAAAGGAGATTCCCCAAAATAAAGATAAAATGAAACTGAACATTAAGAGAACCAGTGCAAAATTACTATTAATATTATATTACTCTAAATAATTTATATATTTGACATCATAAGTATTCAAATATCTGAGTGTTTACTATCTACATCATCTAGGACTTCTTGGCTTTATCCATTATTTTTTTAAAGAATTATTTTATTGAATTTTATTTATTTATTTATTTTAATTTGACTAGAGAAGGACAGAGTGAGAGAGAAAGAGAGAGAGAGAAAGTGAGAAAGCAAGCCACCAGTTCTGGGACTTGAACTGCAGTCGGCCATGTAGGAGTCCAGTGCTCTTAACCACCATGCTGGCTCCCTCTATCCATTTTTTAATATATCTCTTATGAATATATTTTTAGAAAACTTACATAGTTCACATATGTAGTCTGATCATTGAAAGTATTGGGTCGTCGGAAAAGTCATGATGCATTTTTTGCATAGAAAAACAGGAAAATATGCCATGACTTTTCTGATGACTGAATGTATTGGCTGGCTGGCTCCACAGTGCAGTAGTTAAACACTATGCACTGGGAACCAATTCCCACATGGCCAGCCGCCATTAGAATTCTGGCCCTGGCAGCTTGAAAAACAAAACTGGGCACATGTGCATGCATGTCCAAAATTCTGACAGGAAGGAGAAGAGGAGGAAAAGCAACATGGCGTGACCATGCCCCATTGGAAAGTATTTTTTCTCTCTCTGGCAAGGTTACAGGTTCTCTAGCAATTAAAGAAGAAAAGAAAGTATGTTGGAATACTATTTAGCAATAAAGAAGGATATGTTTATCCATATAATAGCACGGATCAATCTCAGAAATATACTGAGTGAAGGAAGCCAAGCAAAAGAGTACATGCTGTATGATTCCATTTGTATGAAATTATTATTATTAGAAAAGACAGATATGTACTAACAGAAAGCAGATTAGCAATTGCTGGCACTGAGGGGTCATTGACTGCAAAGGAACATGAGAAAATTTTCTGCAGTAGTAGACATGTTTTTAATTGTGATAGTGGTACATGAATGTGTGTGTGTGTGTGTGTGTGTATTTGTCAAAAATCATCAACCTATGCTTATAATTTGTGAATTATATTATATAAATTTGTGAATTTATATACATTTGTGAATTTATATACATTTGTGAATTTATATAAAGTAAGCTTCAGTAAAGGTGATTTTTAAATATATATATATATATATTGCTTCAGTATTCTCATTTTGAATTTTCAACATTATTTTTGAGTTTAAGCATCTCTAGAGATCTTTATGTACTTCTATTTTTGCCAAAGAGGAATATTAGAACACTCAAAGTCAGGTCAAGATGATACTGGGGCCAGTAGGTGGTGTGATGGTTAAGGGTGCTGGACTCCCACATGGCTAACCACGGTTTTAGTCTCGGAGCTGGTGGCTTGCTTTCTCACTTTCCATTTTTTCTCTCTCTCCTCTCCCTGACTCCCTCCCTATCTGGTCAAATTAAAATAAAATAAATAAAATTAAATAAAATAATTCTTAGAACACACACACACAAGATGGTGGTGCTGCCATAAGATGTGATGCTCTGGTAGGCTAATCCACACAGGAAGGTTCCAGGTTTTATCCAGAGACTTTCCTAAATACACTAGAGCACATGCCCGTGATCCAGAGCTGGCCAAGACTAGGGGTGAATCACTGGCATCAAGAACCTGTTAGGAAGCTGTCTTTCTCTCTCTGTCTCTCTTGATCATGGAAAAATTAAGTAAATATGCATTTTTAAAAACTAAAGTGATGCTCAGACCAGCAGGTGGTGTAATGGTTACATGGCTGCCCTCCCATGTAGTTGACTACAGTTCAAATTCCAGTTTTGGCGATTTAAAACTCGCACCAGGTGCATATGTGGCTGTAGCGTGGACATCCCCCTAGGGGGTGATTTCTTGCTTTCTGTCTCTGTCTCTCTCCTCTGTCTCTGATGAGCTCATGCACCCTATAGCGAAAAACAAAATAATAAAATAAATAAAAAATAAAATTATGCTCTTGGGCCAGCAGGCGGTGTGGAGGTTAAGGTGGCTGGATCCCACATGCTGACTGCATAGTTTGAGTCTGAAACCTAGGGATTTGGAAACTATGCTGATCATGTGTATATGCATGCCCAAAGTCCCAAGAGAAGAATGGAGAAGGGGCTGCACTGTCGCTATCCCCTCTGGGGGTGATTTCTCACTTTCCCTCTGATTCTGTTTCTCTCCAGTGAGCACACATGCCCTGTAGCAAACTAAAACTAATAATAATTTTAAAAAAGGATGCTATTATTACTGGACTAAACTCAGAGAGTTAGCAGTTACATAGGAGATATTACCCTATTGCCCTATTAATCAAATTCTGATTTTTGAGGTGCACTTTTTTTTTTTGGAGAGATTTTTGCGATAGGGCGCGTGCGCTCGCCAGACAGACAGAGAGAGACAGAGAGACAGAAAGTGAGAAATCACCCCCCCAGGGGGTATGGTCACTCCGCAATCCCTTCTCCTCCATTCTCCTCTCAGGATCTTGGGCACGCATGCACACGCGCCTGGCGTGAGTTTTAAGCCACCGGGTCCGGGACGCGAACCGCTGTCGACTACGTGGGAGTCCAGCAACATAGCCATTACGCTAACTGCTGGTTCCCGAGGTGCACTTTTTGAGGATGTGAGGGCCCTCTGAAATTTCTTGCCTAATTTCTCACTTATTGCTAGCAATTTCTATCTCCTGTTATTTAAACATCTTTAATCAATCTGTATCTAATTTGAATTTTTTTTTAAATCATGATTTCTTTCTAAATTTGTGTGCAACTTACTGTGCCAAGGTGATGAAACAAATTATATTTCATTAGGTCACACTAAAGATCTTTTATTTGATTCTTACAGTTTTTCACTTTGTGTTTTTAGGGGTTTTTTTGGTATCTTTTCTTGACCAATCTTCTTTAAGATGTTACCTTCTTTTTTTTTTTTTGAGATGTTTTTGCTATAGGGCGCGTGCGCTCGCCAGAAAGACAGAGACAGAGAGATAGAAAGCGAGAAATCACACCCCCCCAGGGGGATGGCCATGCCACAATCCCTTTTCCTCCATTCTCCTCTCGGATCTTGGACACTCACGCACACACACCCAGCGTGAGTTTAACCACCCGGTCCAGGACTCAAACCACAGTCGGCTACATGGGAGTTCAGCGACATAGCCATTACACTAACTGCTGATCCCGAGATGTTACCTTCTTCAAGATGTTACCTCCTCTTCTTCCTTTATTCTCAGTGTTCTGTTTTTTTCCTCGCTTGACCAAAAAGTGTTTTTTTAAAGACGACCACATTGCGACCAGCACTTAGCATAATGGCTATGTCGCTGAACTCCCATATAGTTGACCGCGGTTTGAGTCCCAGACCCGGTGACTTAAACTCACACCGGGCTCACGTGCATGTGTGCCCAAGATCCCAAGAGGAGAATGGAGGAGAAAGGATTGTGGTGTGGCCATTACCCTGGGGGGTAATTTCTCGCTTTCTGTCTCTCTGGCTCTCTCTGTCTTTCTGAAGAGCGCACGCATCCTTATAGCAAAAAACCTCTCCAAAAAAAAAAAAAAAGAGACGACCACTCAGCTTTAGTCATTCCTGTTTTCCTGTTTATTTTCAGTACTATTGACCTCTGTGTTTGAGGATATTGTTTTTCTCTTCTTGGTCAAAACTTTCCACCATGACTTCTGCAGCACTATACACATTTTATTTATTTTTAACTCTTACCCTTCTCTGACAGCTCTATAGTCCATCAGTTTTCCTTATAGTTGAGTCTTTTTGCTTGAGTCCTTATGTCTTTGTCTTTATCTCTTGTTATCCTTGCAACAACACAGAGAATTTATAACTCCTTTGAGCATTTATCTTTTCATTTATTCTCGTTTTTCTAGGCTTCCTGTCAGTGTAACAGCCTTCTAACTAGGTCTTCTGCTTTTATTTCTGTTGTTTATCATGCATAATATTGATTTAATGTACTTTTTTGTTTTATTTTACTTATTTATTTATTTATTTATTTTTATTTTGGGGGGGGGAGAAGTTTTTGTTATAAGGGTGCGTGTACTCGCCAGAAGGACAGACAGAAAGTGGGAAATCACCCCCCAGGAGGAATGGCCATGCCACAATCCCTTCTCCTCCATTCTCCTCTTGAAATCTTGGGCAGGCACACATACACACGCGCCCAGCATGAGTTTAAGCCACCGGGTCCGGGACTCAGACCGCAGTCAACTACATGGCAGTCCAGCAACATAGCCATTATGCCAACTGCTGGTCCCAGACTTACTGTACTTCTTAAGAAGTGTTTTGGTATTCCACTGCTGCCAGAAAGTTTATGAATGTTTTCCGTTTGTTGTTTATTGTATGAGCACAAGTATCCAAGGCTGGTAGAGCAGAACTCTGCCAACCTTTTACAGCCAAGTTTAATGCTTACTATTTGCTATCCTTCTACTTAGTTTGTCATCATACTTCTTCCTCGCGTGACCTTCAGCATCCAAATACATATATATATTGCTTAGTTTTACTTTATTCCCTGACTCGGGTTTAATCTCTGTTACATTGATATCAAGGCCAGGTTAAACCATTTTTCCCCCTGGGCCTTTTTAGTAGGTTACTTTTGACATTTTTTCCTCCAATTTTGTGAATTTGCTCAATATGTAACCAATTTGGAGTGTCCTATTTTCATTTATTTACAAGATCGAAGTATTTTTCTAATTTTGTGGTTTTATTTGCAACTTGTTTAGAAACAATTTAAGGATAGATATCATGTTTTTGCCTCTTTATGTATACATTAGAGTAAGTTTCATCAATGTTTATTTTTTCCTATTTGTTTCATGAATTGAAGGACTTGGAATACGTTCAAAGCCATACGCAGATGATTTTGTTAAATATAATTTGAGAGTTACAAAAGCAGGTTTGGCTTTACAAGCCATACATATTTAAACTTAATAGAACAGGATCACATGAAATATATAGTAGATGCTTACTTTAAAACTTATTAATGGAGACCAGATTTTTCCATATTTACATAAATTTACTGACATGTTACTGAATTGTTATAATAAAATAGGCTTTATTGTTATTAACCACATATACTGCTTTTTGATTATTAATGGTTATAATGCATTAGGAAAACATTTTGCTTTAGTCTGTATGTTTATTAATATGTTCAAATTAGGTGATTGTGTTTTAAAAATCAGGCATTGAAATTTATTTTTTATTTTAAGAATAGTACAGGGTTTTCAGGCCTTAAAAGATAAACATTTGAGAGCTCTTTGTTTAATCCCTAGGCTTCGTTTTTTGGCAGTGGAGGGTCCGTGACTCCATCTTTTTCTTCTCGAGGACCGTATGAACATTACCATGCCATTTTTGATCAAATGCAGCAACAAAGAGCAGAAGATAATGAGGTTAAATGGAAAAGAGAAATACATGGTCGAGGACATTTAGAAAGGTAAGGCTGTGTTCTGCAGATGTTATTTATGCTTTGCTTCAGAAGAAGTAATGAAAGTCACTGTGCATATTTATCTACAGAGGAATTCCACCTGGAGTTCGTCCAGGATTTCCTAATGGGGCTGCAGGTCATCACCATTTCCCTGATGCTGATGCTATTAGAAAAACTTTGAAAAGATTGAAGGCGGTGTCTATACAAGCCAGTGCAAACAGGTTGGACTGTGATGATCCATGAATTCATCCTTGTGTGTAATTTTGTCTTTTGTCGTGTATAGCTTAGTTCCCACACTTTGTAGAAGTTTTCTTCATTGTTTATGTAGAATATTTTTTGCCTCCTGGATGCAATAATTTTCTCAGGTGCAAATTTGCCCTTTGATTACTTGATGGTAAATGCATCAGCCTGATTATTGTGACTTATTTATGTTGAGACCAAACATACTATTTTAAAGAACATGCGATAACTTTCAGCCAACATGTGGTTGTAATAATTTCATCTACTTTCAATAAATCAGAATTAAACTGAAATGGAATCATACTTCTTGCAAAACTCTATAGCATGCTTTCTTGTCTTCTTTTTCTTCATCACTTAGAAGCCCACTTTTCTCTTTGTTGTCTTAGCATGTTTCTCTTGACATTTATCTCTGATTTATACCTGTTTGTGATCCTGTTCATCAGATTTTCTTTCACTGAATCAATTTAATAATGTTAACTATCAATTGCTATAAGTTGTATAGTATTTTTTTTCTTAAGGATATGTATGTGTTTTCTTAAACATTCCCAGTTCTTCTACAGAGCATTGTGGTGAATTATGGAAGAACAGATAACGTTCATGAAAGTTTAGTTATATTGTCTTTTCCTTGTCATTTTAGAGAGAATACCATCAAGTGTTAGAAAAATCTTTATGATTCTTGCTTCCCATTTTAAAAATGATTAAAATATACTTGAACAGAGATAAATAATTGAGGTAAATATAAATGAACATTATGGATACATTCTGAATCATATCGAGAAGCCTGATGTGTGAAGCTAATTGTGGACTCTCCATTTTTGAGAAAGAAGGACTGCAGAGTCACATGCATATTTGTTGATGAATGGTGAAGCAAATTTTGTGTAAGACGTTTAAGCTTCTTTTTCACTGCTCTTTCTAGTATGTATATTTTTAAAATGAACAATCTATTTTTAGAGCAGTTTTAGGTTCACAGCAAAATTGAGCGGAAAGCCCAAAGACTTCCCATATACCTTTCCTCACACATGAATATCCTCTTTGTCAAGCTCTCATTTTCTTTCATTAACACATTCATTTCAGTTGGTGATCCCAAATTGACCCATTATCATTCAAAGTTCTTAGTTTACACTAGGGTTCACTCTTGATAGGTATGTTTTCTGTGTTTTGACAGAGGCATCCACCATAGTAATAGTATCCAGAATAATGTCATTGCCCTAAATATCCTCTGTTTTCTACATATTCCTCCCTTTCTCCCTTTTTACCCCTTACAGCACCCTTTTAATTCCTTACTGTCTCTGTAGTATTACTATTTTCAGAATGTCATATATTTGGAATCATACAGTATGTGGCTTTTCAGATTGGCTTCTTTCACTAAGTAATATGTATTTAAGTACCTCATATGGCTTGATAGCTCATTCCTTTTTGGCACTGAATAATATTTTGTTGTACGGATATACCACAGTTTATTTATCCACTAACCTATTGAAGAAAATCTTGGTTGCTTTCATATTTTGGCAATAAGCTATAAATATCTGTGTGCAAGTTTTTGGGTAGATTTAAGTTTCAACCCTTTTGGGTAAATGCCAAGGAACAGCACTGTTGGATTATATGTTTTCTAGTCTTCCTCATATAAATGTATACATGTTTTGTTAAGGTTGTAACTACCTATTTTGTTTTGGAGGCGCTAATATAAATGGAGATGTATTTTAAACTTCAGATTCCATTCATTCAATCCTGGAATATAGGAAAGTAATTCCTTTTTTTTGGAGAGGTTTTTTTTTTTTTTTTTTTTTGTTATAGGGCACGTGCGCTCCCCAGAAAGGCAGAGACAGAGAGATAGAAAGCGAGAAATTACCCCCCAGGGGGGATGACCACACCGCAATCTCTTCTCCTCTTTTCTCCTCTCGGGATCTTGGGCACGCACGCACACGCGCCCGGCGTGAGTTTTAAGTCACCGGGTCCAGGATGCGAACCACGGTCAACTACATGGGAGTCCAGCGACATAGTCATTACACTAACTGCTGGTCCTGGAAAGTAATTACTTTTGAATATTAACCTTGTTTTCTGTAATTTTTCTATAGTCACTTCTTACTTCCATGAATCTTTTGTAGCCTTTTGGTTTTTCTATTTAGATGGTCATGTCATCTGGGAATAAAACCAGTTTTATTTCTTCCTTCCCAATCTGTCTACCTTACCATTCCTTTTCTTGTCTTATTGTATTAGCTAAGACTTCAAATGCCATGTTGAAGAGCAGAGCTGAGACAGGACATCTCTGCCTTAGTTTTTATCCTAGTACGAAAGTTTCAAGTTTCTCACCATTAAATATGTTAGTTGTAAGTTTTTTTTTTTTACATGTTGTTTATGAAGTTTTATAACTTTCCTTCTAAGTTTTCTTTCTCCATCCCTTTAATTTTTTCTATGTGTTTACTTAAGGTGGGTTCATACAGATAACATATAATTGAGTATTATTTTGTTACCCACACTGATAATCTGTCTTTTAATCTATACAGTTAGACCATTGACATTTGAGGTATTGATATAGTTAGATTAATATATACCATATTTGTTATTGTTTTCTATTTGTTACCCATATTTGTTCCTATTTTTGTCTTCCACACTTTTCTGCCTTTAGAGTTTTTAGTCACATACTACATTTTCTTTCATTAGCACATCAATTATACTTTTTAAAAAAAACTTCTTTCAGTGGTTACCTGAGAGTTTTCAATATATATTTACAACTAATCAAAATCTATTTTCAAATAACACTTCTTTATCTTTAATATTCTGAAATTTGAATATGATATGCATAGATATAATTTTCTTTGAGTATTCATCTGCTTGGTATTTTCCAAATTCCCTAGAGATCTGTGGTTTGGTATCTGACATTAATCTGGGGAAAGACTTATTTAAATAATGCTCTGTTCCTTTCATTTTTTTCTTTCTAATGCTTTCATTACATGTACAGACAGTATGCCTTTTGTAATTGTCCCACAGTTCTTGGATATTCTGTTCTTTTTTTGTTGTCATTATTCCTTGCCTTCTAGTTCTGAATTTTTCTCTTATCATTCTTCAAGCTCAGAAATTCTTTTCTCAGTCTTATTCAGTCTACTGATGAACCATTACCTTTTGCATTAATTACCTTTTGCATCTATTTTTAAAATAATTATTTAATTTAGTTTATTATTATTATTATTACTATTTATTTAACTTACTATAGGGCAATTCACACTCACCAGAGAGAGACTGAGAGAGAGAGAGAAGGAAAGTGAGAATGCATGCCCTCAGGACTAGGATTCAAACCATGGTCTGCCACATGGGAATCCAGTACTTTAACCACTATGCCACCTGTTGGCCCCATGATGTTGGCATCTTAATATATTTTAAATTAATAGTCTCATAATTCCAGCATTCCTACTATATCTGGCACAAGTTCTAATTTATGTTCAGTTTCTTCAAATTCCTTTTGCTTATGGTTTACCTTATGATTTCTCATACTGGATAAAAGGAGCTTTGATAAATGACCTTTAGTAATGTAGTGGTGACTGGGCGCACTTTATAGTTCCATGATTCGGTCTCAGTCTTTGAGCCTGTGTCCCTAGACTGTGAATGTCACTTTTGTTTTTCAGGGCTTTTTTTTTTTTTTTT